CCCGTCCCACCCCACATGACACCTGCGAGTATGTACGCTCTGGTGTCAACTCAAGCTGCGTAATGGAATCGACGACTTTTGCGTTCTGACGCCCCTTATCAGCCTTTATCAGTTGTAACCACTTTCCATCACCTACCAACAATGTCCCGTCCCACCCCACATGACACCTGCGAGTATGTACGCTCTGGTGTCAATGCAAGCCACGTAATGGAATCGACGACTTTTGCATTCTGACGCCCCTTATCAGCCTTTATCAGTTGTAACCACTTTCCATCACCTACCAACAATGCCCCCGTCCCACCCCACATGACACCTGCGAGTATGTACGCTCTGGTGTCAATGCAAGCCACGTAATGGAATCGACGACTTTTGCATTCTGGGACGCCCCTTATCAGCCTTATCAGTTGTAACCACTTTCCATCACCTACCAACAATGCCCCCGTCCCACCCCACATGACACCTGCGAGTATGTACGCTCTGGTGTCAACTCAAGCTGCGTAATGGAATCGACGACTTTTGCGTTTCTGACGCCCCTTATCAGCCTTTATCAGTTGTAACCACTTTCCATCACCTACCAACAATGTCCCCGTCCCACCCCACATGACACCTGCGAGTATGTACGCTCTGGTGTCAACTCAAGCTGCGTAATGGAATCGACGACTTTTGCGTTCTGACGCCCCTTATCAGCCTTTATCAGTTGTAACCACTTTCCATCACCTACCAACAATGTCCCCGTCCCACCCCACATGACACCTGCGAGTATGTACGCTCTGGTGTCAACTCAAGCTGCGTAACGGAATCGACGACTTTTGCGTTCTGACGCCCCTTATCAGCCCTTATCAGTTGTAACCACTTTCCATCACCTACCAACAATGTCCCCGTCCCACCCCACATGACACCTGCGAGTATGTACGCTCTGGTGTCAACGCAAGCTGCGTAACGGAATCGACGACTTTTGCGTTCTGACGCCCCTTATCAGCCCTTATCAGTTGTAACCACTTTCCATCACCTACCAACAATGCCCCCGTCCCACCCCACATGACACCTGCGAGTATGTACGCTCTGGTGTCAATGCAAGCTGCGTAATGGAATCGACGACTTTTGCATTCTGACGCCCCTTATCAGCCTTTATCAGTTGTAACCACTTTCCATCACCTACCAACAATGTCCCCGTCCCACCCCACATGACACCTGCGAGTATGTACGCTCTGGTGTCAACGCAAGCTGCGTAATGGAATCGACGACTTTTGCGTTCTGACGCCCCTTATCAGCCTTTATCTCATTTTTCAAAGCCTTTGGTGTGATTGCATCAGTTTCAGTTACTGTTGAATATTTTTGTCGCTTCCTTCCCTTCCACTGCGAGGTAAGCCTGTTGCTTTTTTCCGTTTTCTGCTCATGCGTTTTTTTCGGGAATTCATTCCGCGTTGACTTTCTGCTTTCATTTTTGATTTTATTCTTCACATTGATGTGATGGTTTTAGTGTGCAGTTCTTGCTGATTTGTCGCGTACCGCTCATCTCTTAACCTAAGGTTAGTTGCTTTTCCTTGTATTACGTTTTTAGCTCTCACTGATGATTGATGCTTTCAGTGTATTGTTGCTGTGATTAGCGCTCTTGTTTCTATGAAAAGTGAGTTGCTATCAGAGTTTCGACGTATTCTGTGTGATTTGTAGAGCATTCACTTTTGAGCTTATTTCTTTTCCCTTTGAAGGCATTCTATCTAAGAACATTGTTAATATTGTTAAACTATTGCTGCTCAGTTCTGAGTTTGCTTAATTAGGGGATCGTGACAACAATTGAGAATACCTTTAGCATCATAGGAAGCACGTTTTGTGGTAAGGTTATAATGGGTTAATACACTGGAATGTTATCCTGATTCACCATCGGCCATCGTCGTTTGTGCGGGGATTTTTCTCTTATATATTTAGCCACTTCTAGCCTGATAGGACTTCCTTTTCTTTTAGCAGGTCCCCGGTCGTTATTGGGATCAGCAAATCCATAATTTCAGTTATCCTTGTAGGCTTGGTAAAGATTATAGACTAGAGGTTATTGTGCGTGTAAGAGTGGTATTCCTCAGGATGTGTTACAGGGAATGGATTACGATCCACTTTTCGATGAAGAGGCTTACAGCCTTACACAATCATCCGAAGAATCTCAGCATAGTCAAGATTCTCAACGTGTTGGTTTTGCAATCTTTTCTAATAAGCGCGGTGTTGTTCATGAAACTTCTATCTCAGGGTACTGCGATCTATCCTTTCTCAGAAAGGGAAACAGATCTCATCTTGGACAGTTACGTAGAAAACTACGAAATTTACCACCATGCGATCTCAGGCGGCTCGAGGCAAGGGGTACCTGTAAGTCCCAGGTAGATAAACAAATAAGAATGTAACGAAGCGTAGTTTAGGCAAAAAAACGTTTCATCAGCCAGTTGACTGAAGAAGTAAATGCGCTGGGATTCGCTAGGAGGACGGAGAAACAAATAGACCAAAAGATCAGGGATGAAATAAAAACATTGAAGAAATATGGTAATGCATTGGTAAGATGCGGAAGTTCAAGTTGGTGCCCCTATGTTGTATCCTATTAATAAGTCTCCAATTCAAGGTGGCGGAAATGAACAAAACAGGCGGAGGAAAAAGGGCGCCCCTACCAAGACTCTCAGCGGCACAAAAGAGAGCCTTTGATTCCATTCAAGAGAGGCCCCGAATTACCGGTGTGAGAGGTGGCATGGAAATAGGCCATAGAATGAGTGAGGAGGTAATATTTTCATGTTACTCCAATGAGTGCAGTTCTGGACCTTTCTATTTTTGCAGAGCGCAGCGCCATCGACAGGACTTTCCACAGGGCCCTCGACAGGACCATCGACAGCACCATTGGCAGGACCCTCGGCAGCCCCCTCCGCAGCATCGTCGGCTCCTCATCCTGTAAGGCGGGCCCCCTCGAAAGAGGAGCTTCTCAACATGGAAATGGCCAACATGGTTCTGAAGCAGGACCTCTACGAGAAGAAACATCGTCTTGCTGATCTCCAGATTGAGTACTGGACGAAAAGGATCGAGAGATTGGGTTGAATTTTAATAATGCTCAATATTACTGAATGATACTCACCCGTGGTGCTGGTTTTCGTACGAGTCTTTGCCATGAAGTTATACGGTTTCCCATGATATCGATACTCGATTTGACTGATTCTCAATTTCACTTACTTAGAAGGTCACATCGTATTGTATTGTTTTCATAACATTTTTGGTCAACATTTGAAGTGCAATTATTGCTAGATTTGTATTTGCTTCTGCCTTATTAAGCTGTACCTCGAATCGTTTATGTACAAGACGATTTATAAGTTGTGAAGATCATAAAATTAAGTGATGTTGCAAAAGCTCTCATTACAAGGCACATAGAAAGCACACAATGTATATACATATATACAGCAATATCTACAGCAACGAAGGGCGAGATCATAGCTTTTGGTTGGTGATGCTCTTCGCTAGGGGCGCCTTCGAAACCTAAATAAATTCAGCGGTTACAATGTGGCATCAATGTTTTGATTTCATTTTCATGAGCTGGTTATACTTTCGAACTTCCGAAGCAAGAAGTAATCGAAGAGGACACGTGATCCAGTTCAAACCCCTCAGCTTTCATTTTTAATCATGGTAATAGTTGCAATACTGATTAATAGCCATACAAAGAATACTCATACCTTAAAAATAACGTGCAATTATGTCTCGCATAAAAGCTGTAGCGCTCCTATGAGTCATCTCAGTGGATGGCTCGGAAGGAACCTCACCATCTTGCCGATCCTCCCCTGTGTACTCATCATAGTCGATAGGTTCTCTTGCATCTATCGCTATATTGCGGAGCACACAGCACGCTACCACTATCTGAGCTGCCTTCTCGGGAGAGTACCTTTAAACAGCTGATTACGAAGACCTCAGAAGGAGCGGAGAATTGGTCCGATTTCACCTGCATTCGCCGTGTAAAATATGAAATTGCCTCTTTAGTACTCCAAATGCCTGCTCGACTTTGGCGCGTGCGGCACACACGGCTCTGTTGTGCCGCTGCTCTGTAAAAAAAAGCTACGGTTACATGAACAATTAATAGGTACCTTGACGGGTGCTCGGATTGTCCAATGGTTTGAGCAGAAACGTCTCCGCACGATACGCCGAATCCCCCAAGAGAGTTCCCTGAAGCTCTCCTCTTCTCAGCTGGTCGTACAAAGCTGACGTCGTGAACACCCGGGAGTCGTGCGCAGATCCCGGCCACATGGAATTTACCCATCTCACTTTCAGGTCGTAATCAACCACGACGCCCACATTGAGGCTGTGGTATCCTTTCCTATTTACGTAGTCTTCTTCTCCTTCCGTGGGTCGCTGAATTCGACAGTGGGTGCCATCGATGACGCCAGTCACTCCCGGTACGCCAAAGCGGCGGTAGAACTGTTGCCTGATTCTGGCCTTCTCCACTTCGGTCGGCCAGTGTATGTACCGAGCTGCCCTTCTATTTAAAGCCCGCACAAAAGTGAAAAGCACCCGAGACACGGTGCTTTGATGACACCCCGCAATCCTTGCAGAGTCGCTCTGCATCACATTTCTGCCGAGCAAGTGTATACTGATGGCCACTTGATCAGCCACTGTCAGATCTATCCCTCTTCCCTGCCGTCTTTGGAGTTCATCCTGCATCATGCTACAGATATCGAAGAACACGTGTTTAGAGAAGCGGTAATCCTTGCGAAATTCTTCGTCGCTCAAGTTGTCGTATGGGGACGTTCGGTCTCGGAACGTGCGATGAACAGACACCTCCGCGTATCTCTCAACCACATCAAGCCTATCAAGAAACTCCATCGTCTGGAAATGATCCCAACAGTTACAAATTAGGGCAAAACGTCACCAAACGAAATCGAGCCCGCCACGGCAAGATTTCACCTCAGCTTATGGTTTTTCATCACAGCGCATTTTCGCGCTCATGTGATGAGGAGGCATCGACAGTGAACGCGACGAAGAAAGCCTCAGCAGATATTAGTTTTGATTTGTCTAGTTATCGTTAGCAGCATCAAACTCACAACAAATTCAAAACTGGCAGTGGTTCTCATGTCTACTGAGCAGCCTGCTTCTTTGAATATTTCATGATGTTACCACCTAAGGAAGTCACATAGATGAAAACAAAAACTTCGCCGCCCGTTTATACTACTTAATTGGCCAAAACTTCTAGCTTCAAAAGTTCGAAATCGCAAGCAGAAAACTAAAGCACTTAGCAATAATTTGAAAGAAAAGTTCGAGTCATGAAAAGATTATAAAGTGAAGGAGCTTACCTCACACTAGAACAGGGAAAGCGACCAACAGACGGTATTTCCAACAAAAAACACAATCTAAAACAATTTCATCAACTTCAGAAATGAAAACGAAGTGTAAAAATAACTCACGTAGAGCAGCAGGGCAAGAAGCGATCACCAGACGGATGACTTCAACAAAAAACACAATCTAAAATAATTTCATCACATTCAGAAATGAAAACGAAGTGTAAAAATAACTCACGTAGAGCAGCAGGGCAAGAAGCGATCACCAGACGGATGACTTCAACAAAAAACACAATCTAAAATAATTTCATCACATTCAGAAATGAAAACGAAGTGTAAAAATAACTCACGTAGAGCAGCAGGGCAAGAAGCGATCACCAGACGGATGACTTCAACAAAGCGATCACCAGACGGATGACTTCAACAAAAAACACAATCTAAAATAATTTCATCACTTCAGAAATGAAAACGAAGTGTAAAAATAACTCACGTAGAGCTATAGGGCAAGAAGCGATCAGCAGACGGATGACTTCTACAAAAAACACAATCTAAAATAATTTCATCACCGTCAGAAATGAAACAAGATGTAAAAGTAGCTCACGTAGGACAGGACAAGAAGCAGTCAGCAACCGGATGACTTCAGAAAAAAACTCAATCTAAAACAATTTCATCACTTTCAGTAATGAAACGGAAGGTAAAAGAAACTCACGTAGAGCTGCAGCACAAGAAGTGGGCAGCGATGAAATATTTCAACAACAGTTGCACGCTATAAACATCACAGTAATTTAGGGAGAGGAAGGGAAGTGAAAGCAGTAAACTTCACATCACAAATACATGTAAGCAATTATGAGAGCAACGAAAACGAGAGGCAAAACAGGCTCACCCAATACCGAGGGACCAAAAGCGATTTACAGTCGATGAATTGAACAAAGAATACTCTCTGAAACAATTCCATCAGTTTAGGCATGTTAATGGGAGAAAGAACACGAAAATGGAAGCAGAAGGACAACGAACGATTGAACTACTAAAAGCTGCCTGAACAGTGAAAACGAAACTTCATGAGACGGAAAACTAAAAAGGAAACTTGGGAGCAACAAGTTGAAGGCGAGACCATAAGAGAATTGCGCGCCCGAGCGACAATTATGCGTACGGCGGCTACGAAATTACGGTATCCCCGGCTTGCCCCGATCGGCAGGCGATAGGGGAGATATCCCCGGCTATCGGTGGGCGTGGCCTCTCCCCGAGAACTGTCGGGGGGAGCATAGCATACCGGGACGGGGACCCCTCCCCTGTTGGGGGAGCATAGCATACGGCCCCAGATAGGAATAACTCACCTTTGTTGAAGGAAGCCTGGCGGAGTGGCAGAATACTAGTTTGAAACCGAATAATGCAGAAAACAGCTGATTCGGCCGTCAATACTCTGCGACATCCAGACGGAAGAGCACCCTAGTGACTGTAGCCATGGAAGAGAAT